ACCTTATTATTAAAGTAAAGCAGTTGTTGTCAAGTCGATTCTGACTCATAGTGACCTCATGAGTGTCAGAGTAAAACTGTGCTCCAGAGAGTTTTCAGTGACTGACTTTTCAGAAGCAGGTTACCAGACATTTCTTCTGAGGTACCTCTGTGTGGACACAATCCTCCAATCTTTCAGTTAGCAGCCAAATACATTAACAATGTGTACCACCCAGGGACTGTATTATAAAAGTTATTATTGTTGCTAAGTGCTGTTGAGTTGGTTCCGATTCATAGCGACCCTGTATAGGGTTTCTGAGGAGTAGCTGGTGAATTTAAACTGTAGCTCATGTTTATTGTAGAAAACTTAGAAAGTTCAAATAACAAAAAGTATCACCTATTATTCTAATAACGTTTTGGTATGTTTCTTTTTATTATTTTAAACATACATATAAATTTTCATACTTTTAAAATTAGATCATATGCAGTTTCATATGTTGGTGATTTAAAAAAACAAATGGCAATATATTGGAATACTCTCCCACAGCATGAAATAATCTCCAAAAATTGATTTTTAAATTCTAGTTATTCAGATGTGTCAATATATACCATAGTTTATTTAAACCACCTCCTATTGAAGACATTTAGATTTTTTCCAGTTTTCCCTGTTATAAACAATATTGCAATGAACATCCTTGATTAAAATCTCTCTCCACAGCTCTGATTTTTGTCCTTTAAAAAATCTTAGAAGTTAAATTACATATTGCCAAATTTTCCTGCAGAAAGAACATAGTAATTTACTTCCCAAAGCAATATATGAGAATTTCTATTTTACTGTAAACTGGCTAACCCTGGACATTATAATTTTAAAAGAATTTTTGTTTATTTTAAAATACCACCAATGTTTTAGCTTGAAATTCTTTAATTACAATCAAGATTTAACTTTTCGGTGAGTTCATTATTGTCCATTTGAATCTCTTCATTTGTGAATTAACTTCAGGTCTCATCTATTTTTTTCTGGGCTATTGGTGTTTTCTTAATATTTTAGAAGATATCTTTATATGCCAATGACATTAGTCGCTTACCTTTCACATATACCGTGAATATTATAGTTGTTTTTTTTATTTAGAGAAAAAAAAAAATTATATGGCCTAAACATCCATCTTTTCCTTTGTTTTTGTTGCTGATGTTATTTTGTTTTGTTTTTATTCTTTGTAAAAAGAAGCCATATTGTCATTTGGGAAGGGGGTAAGTAAGCAGCTTGGACAGAACATGTGCACAGGAAAAGTGAAAGAAAGAGCCCTTACTTGCTCTGCACAATTTAGTAGATGAGTGATCCCTGGACCAGAAGCAACAGCAGTATCACCAAGGTACTTGTTAAAAAGTAAATTCCCTGGCTCCACCCCAGACATACCGAATCAGAAACACTGAATGCATGACCCAGCAAGCTGTGTCTTAACAAACCTTCCAGGTGAGTCTCATGCACGATGAAGTTTAAAAAGCATCAAGATAAAAGATTTGGGGTTTACATCTGGCTGTCCAGAAACAAGGAGAAGATTCAGAACAGAGAGACAAGGAGAGAGGGGAGGGCATCCCAGAAGGAAGGCCACCCCCACCCCATAATATGACACCTAGATGAAAACTAAGGGGGAAATGCCAGAATAAAACTCTGTAGTGGAGATGGCTGAGAGACTTTACAATATGCAATATTCCATTTTAAATGCTCTTCTACTCTGAGCTGAGTCATATTTTATTTACACCCTCAGGAAAAGATCTTACAATCTGATGTCCATGAGGTTTGGGAACATAAAGGAGAAGGAGAATGGCTTCAAGTGTGCAATGAACTGTTGAAAGAAGACAATAGAGCCACACAAGAAAAGGCAGCAAGAAGGAATCAAGAAGTTACTGACAGCAGGAATTTTTAGGGCAAAATGACCAAATTACACAAGATATGCTCATAAATATTAAGGGAAGTGTTGGGCTTCTTGTTTTTCTGTTGTTCTTGTTAAGTGTAATTGATTTGGTTCAAACTCACAGCAGCCCTGTATAGGGTTTCCAAGGAGAGGCTGGTGACTTTGAGCCAGCCCCCCTCATCTTTCAGTTAGCACTCCAGGACTCCATTGGACTTCTTACAGCATATTAAAGGGAAAAGATGCACTACCATGAGACAGAAAGATTTGGAAGCAGTCAGGTTATGCTTAAAAGGCCTTTCTCAGTACCACCATAAAATAATCAACTATTTTTTCTCTTTTTTTTTTTCATTTAACTCTTTAATCAATTTCTAATTTATCTTGGTAGACAGTGTGAAATAAAATTTTCCACCGAGATGATTAACTCATTGATAAACAACATTTGTTGAATAAATCTTTCAGCTCCTTTTGTTTCTAATAGCATCATCATAAAATATCTTCCTAGGTTCTCTATTCTAATTCATTGATCAGTCTATTTCTGAGCCCATACTACCTTTTTTATTTCCATGGTATTATAGAGCACTAATATGCTTAAACCTTTGGAAGGGTGTCTCCCACATAAGAGTTTCCAGATAAAATACAGGATGCCCAGTTAAATTTGACTTTCAGATTTATTTTTATTAGCTAACTGCTATCACTTCTAATTCATTTTTCTTCTCCCACTCCAACAATATTTGTTTGGCTCTTCCTACCCACTCATTCTTTCATGAATTTTTGAATCACATTAAAAAGTTCCCATAAAAACATCTTATTGGGTTTAAACTGAATGGCATTAAATATATAAACAATTTTGGAGATAAATACCTTTTTTTTTTTTTTTTTTTCTTTTTTAGTCTTTCTTTCTGTAGCTCTGTATTTCATCAAAGTTTCCCTTATGTTTTTTGTAAAGTTCTGCAGAATAGTTTTATTGTTTGTTTTGGTTTTATTTTTTTTCTCATATAGGTCCATTCTGTGTCTTATTAGATTTATTACTATGTATTTGTGAATTTTTGCTTGCTAATTTTTGTATCTCTTGATATTTCCATATGCCAGTACAAAATGTCCTGATATTGTTAGGAAGCATAAATCAATGAGTAGGAAAATTCCTTAGATAGCCTAGACACAGATAATAAATTGTATATCCTAAAAACTCTTTAGACAGGTAAATCATAATGCAGGAACTCAACCAGTCCCTGGTGACAGAATTCATTCTATTGGGCTTTGCCCCTAACCCCAGGACCAATCCTCTGCTCTTCACCTTCTTTTTAGTCTTTTACCTGCTGATCCTCGTGAGCAACAGTCTCCTTATTACCATTATCCACCAGGACTCACGTCTCCACACTCCCATGTACTTTTTCATTAGTGTCCTCTCCATGCTGGATGTATGCTATACCACCACTACTGTGCCACAGATGCTCGTGCATATTCTCAGCAAAAAAAGGGTCATCTCTTTTGGCAGGTGTGTAGCCCAGATGTACATCTTCCTCCTCTTTGGAGTCACTGAGTCCTGGCTTTTCTCCATCATGTCTGTAGACAGGTACGTGGCCATCTGCCATCCTCTCAGGTACAAAGTCATCATGAGCCATTGGGTGTGTCTCCTCATGGTGGGCATCTGTGCAGCCTATGGTGTGGTGGGTGGCCTATGCTACACCTTCTTTGCTATGCGCTTGCCCTATTGTGGCCCTAATGAAATTGATCACTACTTTTGTGAGGTCCCTGCTGTTCTGAAGCTGGCCTGTGCTGACACATCCCTCAATGACTTGGTGGACTTCATCACAGGCTTCAATGTCATTGTGGTCCCACTCTCCCTCATCATCATTGTCTATGCTAACATCTTTGCCACCATCATGAAGATCCGCTCAGCCCAGGGACGGATCAAGGCCTTCTCCACTTGTGCTTCCCACATCACTGTAGTCACCATGTTTGCGATTCCCTGCATTATCATGTACATGGGTCCTGGCTCTGGCTCTTTGTCAAACAGTGGCAAGAAAATGGCCCTATTCTATAACATTGCCACAGCCTTTCTCAACCCTGTCATCTATAGTCTGAGGAACAAGGACGTGAAAAGGGCTTTCCTTAAATTGTTCAATCGGGTCAGGGCTCAAAAGTAAGACTTTAAAACAAAAGACCTGGGGAGCTGAACAAAGTTGAACTCACAATCACCAACTCCCCAAAGACTCTTCCAGGAGACCCAGAAGAGCTGGACTCTAAAAGATAACTCCTATTTGCCTAAGTAAGAGAGGTGATCAGATGCCAACATTACCTGTGGTGATGCTGTTTGGGACAGAGATAACTGTGAAAGTTTGGTACAGTGGTTAAGAGCCTGGACTTTGGTGCCAGACAGCCCAGAGTGAAAGATTTGGTTCGACCAGTTACTAGATATGTGAATCTTTACAAGTTATTTAACTATGATAAGGTATGTATTTCTTCCTCAAAGGGAAGTTGTAATGATTAAATGAGTTACTATATGCAAAGTACTTAGTACCGAGCCTGACATATAGTAACATTTCAGTAAATGTCGGTTTTCACTTTTTAAATTTATTACTCAGGGATGAACCTTTGAGCAATAATATGCCATGACCCTCCTGGCCTATGGAAGTGTCTGGAGTCCTAGAGGATCAAGAGAGAAAAGGGAGAGTGGAAGTGGTAGAATCGCAAAAATGGAAAAGTGGAGAACTTTAGGGTGTGATCTTTAAGATGAGAAACAGACTTGAGAAGGTGGAGGTGAGTCTGTATCTGCTCACTTACAAACCATGAACATTACAGCATCTGAAGTCAAGTGAAGATCTTTTTCCACCTAAACTCTTAGGAGGAAAAAGCAGAAAACAAAAACTATGTTCTGTAACCGTTTTCTCTGTGCTGTTGTGTTTTGATTCTCCTTTTCCTCTTATTTCTAATAAAGTCCAATTTGGAAAACCTCAACCTGTCTTAAGTGATCTCTTCTGACATAAGTAAGGATAAGGAAAACTGGTGGTGCTAGCTGGGGCAGGAAGTAAGCATAGTGCTACCCCATGATACAGTGCTGTAAGATAAGCACTGGACTGCAAGGTCCATTTGAACCGCAAGGTTGGCAGTTCAAACTTACCAACCACTCCTCGAAAGCCCTATACAGGGTTCCTGTGAGTTGGAACCAACTTGATGCCACTTAACAACAACAACAGAAAGAGATTAAAAGTTAAAAAAATTTAAAAACTCAGTCCTCAATTCTTTCTTGCTCAAAGGGACCTTCTCTCCAAAGTCTGCTTGTTTCTCCTCTAATCCTTACAAATATAAAACTTTCCCTTAGGCTTAATCAACCTGTAGGATCACATTACCAGGTATCATCCATATTTAATGGCTTTGCTTCAATTTGCTGCTGAAGGCACTGCAGCACTCAGTTTATGAAATATGGCCCAGAAGCTAACATGCAGTCCTCTCAGGTGCTTCTGCATCCTTTGCTGATATTCACTGCTGCTACAGTGCAATGAATTACTCTGTACGGCCACTCTAGTCATGATATTGTAGCTCCCTTAAAATGATTGGCTGGCAGTTCAAACTCAACAGCCACTCCTTGGAAACACTATACAGGGTTGCTATGAGTCACAACTGACTCTACCACACTTAGTAACAACAGCAACAACATGCAAATAAGGTGTTTGTGGTTCATCAATGAGAATGGACGGTTTTGCTAGTGCAAATAAGGTGCATGCAATCCTTACAGAGGATTGGTCAGTTCTTCCATCCCACATGGTTTAAAGAGAACCAATCTCAGAAGTTGGAGGGAGACCTCATTACCATCAAGTAGAGGGAAGTGCAGCATGTTCTTTGGACTGGGATTCTTGTTCTGAGTGCCTCTTAGATGCAGAAAGCAGAAAGAGTTGTAACACTTGAAACAACACAAGATGCGACAGCAAGCATAGCAGAGACCAGTGGTAGAAGAATCAGAAAACCTATATGAGCTGGTGTGGTGGCCTTCCCAGTCCATGGAGCGAAGTAGCTACAGTAAAATTATCTTAGGAGGCAAGACATGACTGGCTTACAAGCTTTCAAGAGGGAACCTAGATCCAGAGGGCCTGGAGGAAGGTAGAATCTCCAGTGAGTAGTATTCAATCTGACTAGGCGGGGCTGATGCAATGAAATGCTGATGGGTCTCTTGTGATACAATAGTGAATAATTGTTATCAGGACTGTTTGTGAGGGTCGGAAATGTAAAGATAGAAGTTTTATAGCAAGAAGGGGAATGATTAACTTTTCAGTCTAGGAGCAGAGGTCCTTAGGACCAACAAGGGAGAAGAGCAGAGAGCGGAACCCTACCCAGAGAAGCAGTGATGTCTGAAATGGAGCCAGAGATGAGGACGTGAAGCAATGGAGCAGCTGGAGACTTTAGATCCAGAGAGGGAGAGTGACTGTGTGCTGAAGACCTGGGGAGGTATGGGGGAAGGATTGCATGGAGGAGATTGTAACCATGGCAACGAGACTATATACTATATAATGAATGTAAAACTAATGTTCTCCCATGTAAACTATCACATAATTCACAATAAAACATTTAAGAAAAAAAATTACCTTAGGAGGGAAAAGAAATTTTAAAAACTATGCTTTGCAACCATTTTGTACCCCACAGGGTGAGAGAGCTGAGAACCTACTGGCAGGAGGCTTGCTAATGGAGTAGGGTGTCTCGAGGCACTTGGTGGAACTAGGTTCATCAACCCACGGAGCAAGAGAGCTAAGTGTCTTTGCACAGGAGGCTTGCTGGTAGAATGGGGGTCTGTTGATGGAGGTAAAGAAAGACCTATAACACTTGCAAGGGTTGACAGCCCAAGCTGAGAGTGGGGATTCAGGTAAACAGTGAGGGTCCAGGTGAATGAAGAGTAAGAGCCCAGCAGCAATTGAGAAGTTGGCCTGATTGAAGAACTGTAACTTGGGTTGTTCCTGTGACTTCCAATTGATCCCGATCTTTAATCTTAACCTGACACTTCCCTAATAAACCCCACATCATGTGTATGGCCTGTGATTTCTGTCTGCCCATAACAATGAATTATTGTGCCCAGCAGAGGCGCAGACAGCGCTGTAGAAGGGATGGCTAGTGTGTGAATTGGTGAAAATGTAAAAGAGGGGAGGTATTTCTTACCTCTACCTTACAAGGATCAGCTTTGGGTTGATACTAATGGTTAGACTCTCTCCTCCCCTGTGTGAAGTTAGATGAGGAGGTTTGACGTTCTGCCATTTTTACAAAGGACCTATGGAATGCCTTGCAAAAAAACTAGATGAGCCAACCAGAAAATGTCACATGAATACTTGTATTCTCCATGAAAGGTCGACGTCCATGCCAAGAGTGGTGGTGGTGATGTGCCATGGAGTCAGTTCCAACTCACAGCAACCCTGCTAGGGTTTCCAAAGCTATAAATCTTTACAGGAGCAGAAAGCCTCATCTTTCTACTGCAGAACAGCTGGTAGTTTCAAACTGCTGATCTTGGGGTTAGCAGCCTGACTTGTAACCACTACGCTACTAGAGCTCCTTATGCCAAGGGTGCAGGCTTGCAATCTTTTTGAAGATGCAACCACACCGCACCACCCAGGAACCCAAGTGTTGCATAGACAACGAAGCAAACTTAAAAGGCATGTGACAAAACAGAGCAGACAAAATGGTAACATACCTGACAGACATTTGGTTAGTATCGTTAGCATAGAAGCAGCTCTTACAAATTGATACGAAAAATACAAATACCCCAGAAAATTAGCAGCAGATATGAACTGTTCATAAAGAAATCCAAATCATCAGTCAATGTATGAGAAAATTCTACCACACTAGGCATCAAATAAGGAATCCTGGTGGTGCAGTGGATTAAGCATTGGTTAGATTGTCATGTCAAACTCACCAGCCACTCAGCAGGAAAGATATGAAGCTACTTGCCTCCTGAAATATTTACAGTTTTAGAAACCATAAGGAGCAGTTCTATTCTGCTGTATAGAGTCATTATGAGCCCACTCAATGGCAAGGTATTGGATTTAAACATAAAATAAATGCAAATTAACATTTCAATGAGATCACAGATTACCTTTTAAACTGGTAAAGAATTTTTAAACACTATTCAGATGGAGGCAGGACAAAATGAAACATAAACTTCCATACCTTACTGTTTTGTTGTAGTTGAGTGTCTTTGACTCGGTTCCAATTCATAGCGACCCTATATAGGGTTTTCAAGAAGCAGCTGGTAAACTTGAATCACCGACCTTGTGGTTCAAATTGACCTTGCTGCCCAGAGCATTAACCTGCAGCTCTACCTCAGGGCTCCTCCATACATTACTAGTGGAAGTATAACTTTATATGAGCTCTTTGCAAGATTCTTTGGCTTTATGTATCAAGAAAGTTAAATATGTTCATATTTTTTACCAATAATTCCACTTTCAGGACATTTTAGGAAATTTCACCAGTAGTGCAGCAAAGTAACACAGACTTCCATTGTGTTACTTAAGATAGGGAAAAATTGGAAACAACTGAAAATATTCAATGTATATCATGTAAATAATATGCAATGCATGTAATATAATTCACATATATAATGTAAATATTTCATATTACAAAGCATAACCATTGAAAATTATACTTTAGAATATTTCATAGTTAAGGCTCATGACATGATGCTAAGTGACTAAAAACAGATTATTAGAATAGTGGTGAAGTCTGGTATAACATAGTAGGATAAGCAATGGCCCAAAAGCTTGGTTTGAACCTCAAGGTCGGAGGTTCAAACTCACCAGCTGCTCCCTGGAAACCCTATACAGGATTTCTATGAGTTGGAACCGACTCAACAGCACTTAACGACAACAGCAGAATAGTGAGAGAGCGCCACTAAGTCACATTTCTCTGATAACACACATACACACTCCTCAACCTTTTAAAATTGATAAATTTATAATTAATTAAGGAAACTCACCTTGTCTGTGTTTCACACTTATTCTCTTGCTCTTCTTTCTTGCTCACCCTTATTATAGCTTTCCTCCAATCACAATAAATCCAGATATCTAGCAAATGGAATTGCAACAGCGCTATCCATTCTATGGACCTTTCTCATAAATTCACACAGCAGGGTGGTGGCATGCCAGGACTCCTATGAAATTCCAGTAAGCAG